TCTGATCTGGTCGTGGAGATCAAATCTGGATCTTCATCCTTCCTTTCCATCATACTTAAAAACTAAAAACAAATACACGTTTCATCCTCTACCATGTTCAGACCAAGGCATGGAGGTTTCCCAGCTGAGGTCAGACATTTACGTCTTCATCAACCCACGGTCCAAACCCTCAGATGGACAAAGTGTCTCCTTTGATTCCCTACTCGAAATTGCCATGTCTTTTTGGGAGCTGCCATGTTGTACTTTTAGAACCAGTCTGTGAGCTCCAGATGTGAGGCGGTACCAACAATGGTCCCGCCCACGCCTCCTCTGACCCCCCTTCATCATCAACTTGCCGTCAGTCATAATGCAACATGTTTGTCTTAAAGCTTGAATAATTAACACATCTTCGTGGACTGAGGGGATAAATTATGCTAAATCTAAAGCCTTGAAAGGTCGTCTTCTCCCAGGTGTGTTTTCAGTGTAAATCTTTGTATACTGAGCAGATCTGAGCTTCACATGTTTGACGTCCTCCGGTTTTCCTTTAACCTGTCGATTTTATACTTCCTACTAATGAACCTCAACAGAATCCGCCCGCAGCAGTAGATTTGTCCTGTCGTTTCTTTGTCTTTTCATGCGTCTGTGGCAAATTTTTACCTTCGGTGACAATCACCGGCTGACAGTTTGATTGGCGGGTTGACAGGAAGCGGCGTGGCATCCGTGTGCTGTCGCTGTCGTCTTTAATTTCCCCCTCATCGTCGTGACAACGCACGGGCACCTTACATCTGTTTTACACGCTGCAGAATGAAGCCGTTTGGTACCGGCTGCAGCTCGAGGTGACCGAACGTTCAAACAGATCAACTGTATTTATTTATTACCTGAATATTTCTGTTTCCTGTTTGAGCTGAATGGAAAGTCCAACTTCCTGGCACCTGTTTAAACTCTGACTCATGGTTCTGCTGTGAAGTCTGAGGTGCAGGTCCAAACAGGACCAGGACTGAAACTAAATAAGAACATGTTTGTGAGCCCAGCACACTCATCTCACCTCACCGTGGGCTTTAATAAACGTATTGTGCATCTTTTCTTATTTTTTTTACTTTGGTGAAAAAGAAACAGGTTTATTCTCTTCATCCCTCGAGAGTTTCAGATGACAGTTTACTTTGAAACTAATTATACTAAAATGTGGTCAAAGGACATTGTCTGAAATCTGAAGCACACTAAACATAGAAGACAACTTTTTTTTGGTGGTGCACTAACAGCTCCTCCTCTGATTGGCAGGTTGAGCCATGAGCTCAGAGATGTTTCACCTTCTCCCAGGAATTATTTGTAAAATCCTCCACCTGCTGATTGAAATGATTGCCGACACCGAGATCTCTGTTCATGATGGATAAAGTTCATACAAACACAATCTCCACTTGTTTATTTACTCAGAAAACCTGGACCTGACAGGAGAATATGGAGCTTTACATTCTGTTTAATGACTCCACCCCACAAATCTCCTCCCCCATCTCTCTCTTCATTAAGCGTTATCAACCCCTCTGGCCTAATCTCTCTTATATTAGTGTCTGGTCTCCACCACCTAAGTGACTGTCTGGCATTCATTAGCGCTGCGTTTTAGCCAAATCAATCACGGCGCACCCCGTCCGCCAGGCTTTCTTAAAATGTCATCCTCAAACTTCTCACAATCAATTAAGCTGAAGATTAATGAGGCCAATTTGCTGCCAACATGTTAGCCTTCCTCCTCAGCTGAAAAGGCCGTGCACGTACAGCCGGGCGCACCCCAACGATGGAGCAGGAACACACAGGTTGCCATGGAGAACGCATGCCGACACGCAGAGGTTTGAACAGGATCAAGTGTCGACAAGAAACAGGATGCCTGATAAAACTGAAGGCTGGACTCACTTCAGACCAGCAGCGAATGGTTTCTGCTCAGATTCACAAACCAAGTATACGATGGAGCATCAGGTCCAGCAGGCAGGACTCGGATCGGATGCAAAGATGGCATTCAGTAGAGTCAAACAGCAGAAATAAAAGTGACAGGAAGACAAAGCTGAGTGAACTCTGGCTCCAGTTCAGTCCTGGAACCAGCCTTGAGATGCTCTTTGCACCCTCACCAGGTTCTGGAACGGCTCACTAGAACAGCATCAGGATGCAGCAGCGTGACAGAAGATCACACTGTGCTAGCATGATGTAAACCTGGTTACCACAGGTAAAGAAGATACCTTAGTTCACCCACACCTGAAGCCCTCCCAAGACCCTGCAAAGACTATGTTCACCTCTGAGTGGAGTCATCCAGTGGTGGAGGCCCAATTCTTTGTGTAGAAAGTTATAATGTTAAATGTCGCCCGCTGCCTGCCATGACAGAGACCTAAACTAATAACTTTATAATTGAGCATAACTCTCAGGTACTACCACAACAAACCTCATCTAATGGTGTAGGCTAATGTCTATTAGATGTGGCGGCCATCTTGATGCAGATTATAACTGTTGCGATCAGAAGTAGGCCGACATCAGAAAGAAGCGTTTCAATTAGGATAGTTTTCAAAAGGAGAACACGATACAACTTCCCTCCTCAGTCTCACACACACACACACATGCACAAACACACACGCACGCACACACATGCACAAACACGCATGCACACAAACACACACACACACATAGGTGAGAGGAGCTGAACATTGTGTCACTTGTTATCTCACATCTGATTCAATCTGCCTGGGGATGTGCCTCGTGTGGTTGTCATAGCGACTCTCCAGGGATTATAACAAGATGTTATGGGATGTCTAATGTCTCGAAGTGAAGGATCAGAGCACGGTGTTAACACACACGGCTCTGCTGAGCCAGTGCGTGGCAGCTCGCCTTGTTCGGGCTCCATGTTAACACTCACACATGACAACAAGATGAGCAGAAGGGCGGAAGAGGAGACGGTTGTCACGGCGACACAATCGGTCTGTGCAGCGAGTGTGTGTCGGAGTGAAACGGGACGGAAAGAAAACAAATGCAAGGAGATGTCCTGCTCCACACACTCATGTGAGGTAGAGAGAAGCTGAGGAGGGAAACAAATGTTTTTGCCTTTTTTAATTAAAAAGTATTAAACAGGTGTACATTTGGTTTTATTTATATATTTTTGTAATAAAAATATAAAATCTTAAGCCAGACCTCACTTAAATAAAATGATCTACAAGCTTCTGTTTGTCTCTATAGTCCAACAATTGAACCTATTATATTTTAACAACATTTTGATTATTACATTTATTCCAAGTGTTTTTAACAATCCATCTTCTCAGCGTTCATGATCTTGTTCCTTGAAACAAACAGGAGCTGCTGAGCTGCTCCGATGATGCAGAAGGTTGGTTGTTACAGTTTGGAAACACTTTCTATTCCTTTTCTGTCGGCGGCCTTAAAAACGATAAAATGATAAATATAAATAAACGAGGTGATTATGAAAATGTTCCCTCACTGGTGACAGATTACAGACGCAAACATCAAAGTTTCTGCAACCGCAAAAGCACGAGACGTAAACACGCTTACAGAACTATTTCACAAGCACGCACACACGCACACAGATTAGCAGGCTGTATCAGCTGTGGTATCACGTCGGCCTGGTTGTGATATTAAAGCTCAGCCTTTGGGCTGCATGTTAAACAGATAAGGAGTGGAGCATGTTAGGGATTAAAACCACACACACACACACACACACACACACACACACACACTGACTGTGATAACCCAGTTATAATCACACTTTTATAATTCCATGTAATAATTCAGTTTTGCTGCAGCAGCAGGTGGAGGTTAAAGAGTAACTAAATTACTAGAGTAAAGAAGTAAAAGTAGTTTATTAGTTTAACCAAAATAAAAGCTGAAAGGGAACAAAAATTCAAACACCAACGATGTTTGAAATCCTCAGAAGCTTCTTAAATCATGGCAATCAAAGTATTTAATTTAATAAAATAGAACAAAAGAGGATTAATTATGATTAATGAAATCAACTCTTGAGGCTGTGAGGCAACAAAAACCTCTTTAAAATTATTTCAGAGTTAATTTTTACTGAACTTACAAAATTGTTTTCTCAGTGAGCACTAATTTGTTCTATTATTTTAATTTTTTTTATGAACCAGCAGAACAACCAGACAAAACACTCAGTTTTTATGGATCAGGACAGAAAAATAGGTTTTATATCCATTAAGACAACCGAATCCTTTAAAATGTAAGAAACACTCTGAAGGCTTCACCAGGTCCACACGTTCACCCTCATTAACGCAAACAGCCAATCACACGCAGCATTTATCCCCAGGTGGAATTTAAATGTAAAAATATTTACAGAAGAATCAACGCCTCAGAGACTGACAGGAGCCCAAACCATCAGCCTCCATCGCCGTGCTGACAGCTGGGAGAAGCTGTTTGCTGCACGGCATTCTGGGTAAACATATCTAGTGCTCTGGTTCCTTCAGATGAAACTTTCAAGTCAAACTGCCATGTTGTTTTTAGACAGAAGAGGCTTTCTGCTGCAGACACTGAATGCACACTTTTCTACAGATGATCAATCAATCAATCAATCAATCAATCAACTAACCTTTACTCTTTTAGTCTTTTTTCCAACAAACATGAAGATCAAGAGGCTTTAGACAAAAGAACAGAGAAAATAGATTGTGTTTTTAATGAATGAATCGTTGTGATTGATGGCGTCAGAAGCAGCGCTGAGATCTAGTAAGACATCTGATGTTTGTCAGGATGTGGTCAGTCTTTCATCAGACGTGGTTCTGGTCTCTGAAGCTCCTCAGACGTGACTTCATCAATGAGGACACAAACTGCTGAACAACTTCTCTACAACCTTTGATAAAAATGAGCAAAGGGCTCATGTTTGATAAAACATGAGGATCCAGTGAAGTGTTTCTGGGAGGGTGGGACAGAACCAGCCGATGAGGATCACGTCAGGGACCAGAAGTCCTCAGTCTCACCAAACGTTTCATTCTTCATGGTGTTGCAACAACAGCTGAAGACTGAATAGTTCTTACCTGTAGAATGTGGCTGCCCAGGTGAGGCTCGAAGATGTCGGAGGCGATGGCGCTGGGACTCCTCCTCCGCTGAGTACCAATAGCTACACACACACACACACACACACACATGAACACACACACACAGGAGGAGAGAAAACACAGGACAGGACAGAAGAAGACTGGTGAGACTCGGACACATTGATACGAGCAAAGCTGCAGTCACACACAAATATGCATCCAAACACACACACACACACACACACACATTTATACAGCCTAGCACGACAAACACACATGGCACAGGACAAAAGGAACCAGTGAGGTCAGCTCTGAAAGGCTCGAATCAGCGTGACAGGTTAGCATCGTGAGCTGCACTCGGTGACACCTGCCAGGTAAGGAGCAGAGCTGATAATGCTAACCAGGCTTGAATGTAACAAAGTTACAGGAAGAAACAACGTCAGAGGAAAACATCGGACACATCAAACACGTGGTCAGAGAACGTCAAAGTTTGGATCAGAGGTTGGAGATAACTCAGGCTGTCTACAGTCAGAGGGTTAGCTTCTCATCCATCAGCGCTGTTAAAATGCGCAGAGACAACGAGATACAAGAAACTACATGTCGCCTGTTGAAGCCAAAGTTCACCTGATGCTCTCAAACTAAAATCAGATGGAGAGCATTAGTGGTTTCATAAAGACCTGACATCTTAGAGAACGTTGGGGCGTTCAGTTCCAGTGGAAGGTGCGGTGTTTGGTTAGACTCGCAGCACGATGGGCGGGGTTATGGTTTGGTGTGTGTGGGGTAAATCAGACACTTTCTGAAGAATGTGATGACAAACGTTTATGTAGGAGACAAACAGTCATTTGGCTTGGTTATGTGACAAATATTGAAAAATAAAACGAATGATAAGGTTGACCTCCATGAACTGCATGATACAAGTCAACAGACCCCCCACCTCTCCCGAGGATCCTCACAGACACTGAACGACCAACTCTTACATGCTGGTATCGATGGGGTGCAACTGTGTGCTAAAACAAAAATATTAAATCTAGAATTATAAAATATTAATACAAAAGAACAAAAGTCCTCTTCCAGGTGCGGAAGAACTGGTCAGAATGTGTCTGGACAGATTTGGGGAACCTTCAGTGTAAAAGAAGTCATGAAGCCATGACTGCTCATTACAGTAGTCACTCATAGCAGGGGTTACGTTCCAGACACCCCGGAGATAGGTGAACATCTGCGAAGTAGGGACATTGTATTTATTTTAGTATTTAATGCATATATATTTTAAGGCTTTATAAACCATTCCCACACCCTTGCAATGTTTTTATTGTTCTAAACTCTCTAAATGCTTAAAAGAGCACAGCGAAAGAGAGTAGAAGACTGTTACTGACCCGATCAGCGCCCGGGGGTGGACAGGCCACTGGGAGCACCAGGACATTAAGTGATGTCCCAATGCGATGAGGAAAGACAGACCTTGGGGTCCTCTTCCAGGTGCAGATGAACTGGTCAGAACCTTGGGGTCCATCTTTCCTCATCGCTGCTGTGGGAACTTCAGTGATACGGACACCAGAGTGAGCGGCATGGATTGTTTATTTAAAATAACCAAGCATGACCCGAACCGAGCCTTAACCCGGCCAGGCCACCGGGAAACAATTTGTACAATCTTATGTTGAAAACCTGAGAAAGAGTGAGTCCATGAAAGTCAATCCGTGAAGCATCGAGGGAATACTGCACTTCATTTTCAGGAGGTCCATACCCTCCACGCAACAGCAGCATGTTCCCATGACCATACTGCCACGTACAATCACGACTCCGTCTCTGCCGCAGTGGCAGGAAGCAGCTCAGAGCCAGAGGGTCCCACCACATGAGCATGATGCTCCCACAGCCTGCAGCACGGCTGTATCAGAGTTTCTGTTCCTCGGTACGAGCAGTCGGAGCTTCCGAGGTTAGTCAGACTTCCAATTAAAGACAACCGAGCAACGCTGATGCACGCCGGCCTCGGGTCATGAATACGCTGCCACCAGGACATTGTTCTAAACATTTTGAGCACATTGAAACCCATCATAACACGACCACGCTCTGCATCCACTGCGTTCTCATAAATTAAAGCAACTCACGCAAACCCTGCAAAGACCTTACGTCTGATTTTTACATAAGAGCCAGGTCTCATCTCGAGTGAAGGGGGCTTCAGTACCAGCTAGAAAATCTTGAATAAACTTTCTAAAAACCAACATTCAACTACGTTTATCCCCAACAAGCAGAAGCATCGTGTTTGTGGGACAACAGCAGCAGGTCTCAGGACTCTGGTAAATGATGGAGCTCCATCACATCAACCTTCTACCCATCATGAGCTGTTCAACTGAAAAGATAAAACAGAAACATTTGCAGATGAAGAAAGTCAGAGAAATGCGTTATAACTTTTAAATTCCACCCTCAGGGCAGAACTCTCTCCACAGAGAAACACAGAGTCCAACAGCCGGAAGGAAAGAGGACGATGGAAGGAGAGATGGCTGAAAGAGCTGCCCTCAGGTTAAAACCAGGAAAATAAAACACATAAACAGCTCAATTAATTTTACATTCATTGTAATTACAGCAAGCCAATAAAACACCAAGCAACAAGTTGCATTAATGCTGTTTGCTTCAACTTCTGCTTCAAACACTTCCTGTCAACATCAACTCTAGAGTTTATTTATGAAGCTGCAGTTTTTCAAATGTTACGGCAGAGAAAGACAAGAAGTGACCAGGCCCCGAGACCGTGAGCCTGGCAGAACAAAAACAACCATCAGAGAGTTTCTGTCTACCCTCAGGTCATTCTCCTCTTTTCACCCAAACTCTGTCCTCTCCCTGCAGACCTCATTACTCCACATTTAAACAGAGCAACACAAACACGCCAAAACTGTTCTGTCAAGTGCAGGGAGGGTAACTGTAGTAAAATAGGGTTCAATTAATGCTCTGAGAAGCTCGTTGGAATTAAAGCAGAACAAAATGGCAAAAGCACTGGAGGTGAGTGAGCGAAGGGCTCAGAGATTAACTTTAGTTTGACTTTTACTTGCCGAGTAACGGAGACGACTTCACCTGTCTTACTCTGATCTGAAAATAAATATCAGCTTCAGAAGTTGTAGCTAAAAGGAGGTGCCTCGCTATGGTGCTTTGAAAAACAGGAGTCAGACAGAACACAGGGGTCTTTGTGTAACAGGTTAGATTTCATCCCAAATCCTTTTTTTTTTTTACTGTCCATGTACGTTTTCCTGGTATATGTATTGTGTTTTACTTTGGTGGGGAAGCTTTTAATTTCTTACTTCCTGTTTTTGAATCACTTCTCATGTGTTTGCGCCACTCGTAGTGGTGGCGGGGAGAGGGGCGTGTGCAGAATTGTGTCTCCCATTTATGTGTGAGAATGTTGTAAAACTGTTGTAAGCATCTTGAAACTTTAGTTTGTTTAACTCACATTTTATTTTATTTGCTTAATTCATATCTGTTAAGATGTTTTTTTAATGTTTAACATCACTTTAAGTAACTAAGTGCTATGTGTTGTCATCAGTGTAAGTTCCCATGCAATGGTGAAACTGGTTCTCTGCATTTAACCCATCCCACCTGGATACACCCAGGTGGAGCAGTGGGGAGCTACTGTATGTAGCGTCTGGGGAGCAATTAGGGATTAGGTGTCTTGCTCAGAAACACCACGGCAGGTGGGAAGGGCAGGCCCTACCTCTACCCCATCTCGGCCCCTTTAATGGGCGGAGTTAAGCTTCAAGGCCCATGTCCATCAGGTTTCCCCATGCCATTGTAATTCTGTAATTCCTTTCTATTTTCCCATCGAAGGTGTGCATGTGGAAGCCTGAGTATATGAACTGCTGTGCTGAAGACATTTTTATTTTGAACAGTTGCAACAACTTGGGGTCGTTGTCTGCTGGTTCTTGGACTAACGAACACACACAACGCAGAGTACGTTCAGAACAGACGAGTCAGAATATGTCTGCTACATTTGCAGGGTCTCCATGTCATCTTTGGGGGTAGATTAGGGACACAGTGGGTCCCTTCCTGGACATGAGAGTTCGTGGAGAGTCCCAAGTGTGCGTAGAAGGGGTTCATTCTGTGTCGTTGGTGTGAGGAGAGGGATAAACCCACTAGCGATAGCCATAAATGGCTGTGCCTATACTCATAGAATCTGGGGTTACAGAACATAACCAACAGGTTCTGCAGAGTAGCCCTGACGTGTACGATGGAACAGAAACAGAATCCCGTCTGTGAAACCGTTAAATCCCAGCGGCACGAACAAAACTGAAGACAAAGATGTACCGCCAGGAAATCTGTTTTCTGTTTGAAACCAAAGAAAAGGCTTCAGTGACGACAGGAGGCGGGGGGGGGGGGGGTGAGTGAAGTGAGATCTTTGTGGAAGACAAACATGAAGAGAAAGCTGCAAGATGGAGGAGGAGACAGGAAGTAAAGATTTACAGATCTATACTGCAGATTTAAAAGCACCCTGCAGAAATTTGGACCAGCCACTATTTTCTGTGGAAAAATGTTTATTGGCTTTATTTTTCCACAAAACCCCGGAGGCTTCTGCATCGCTCGACGCTCTTCTTTTCAATATTTCCTGTCACACTGGTAGCTCTGACATGCAGAATCTAACCAGCAGTTTCCACGAAGCAACACCTGAAGGAACTTGAGCAGTTTAAGCTTCGTGATCTGAGCGTCCAAACAAAGAAGTGGCTGATGACTTTACAAACGGTTATCTTACAAGCATTCTGTTTCCTGTGTCCCTTATAAAAGTAGAAATCATGGTGCGCTTGTTCATTTTGATATATAGCAAATATTAAAAACTTGTAGTGATGCTGATTTTTAAACGCTGATGTTATTCTATATTTTCTCCATCCCAGAAATAAAGAAAATTCAAACCTGTTGTCATATTTTTTCAGATATTCATATTCACATTTATTTAGCTGATTATTACTCTGTGGGGTCATAGAAAATAAAGGTAGACATGTTGATTTGGTTGTTTTTTGGGTTTATTCAGGAATAATTTTGATTAAAGCGTGAAGAAACGGAGCGTTTGTTGAAGTCAAGTCTAGTGCTGTATGACACGACGCTCCTGTTTTTG